GGTTTAGCAAAGTGAGTGTCCGGAAGCTAAAGGCGCTCCATCATCTGTGTGTACAAGTCAGGCTTAGCAAAGTGGGTGTCCAGAAACTGAAGGAGCTCCATCATCTGAGTGTAGGAGTTGGGTTTAGCAAAGTGAGTGTCCGGAAAAAAGCGCTCCATCATCTGTGTGTACAAGTCAGGCTAAAAGTGGGTGTCCGGAAACTGAAGGAGTGTGTACAAAGTGAGTGTCCGGGCAAAGTGGGTGTACAAGTCAGGCTTAAAAGTGGGTGTCCAGAAGCTCCATCATCTGAGTGTAGGAGTTGGGTTTAGCAAAGTGAGTGTCCGGAAGCTAAAGGCGCTCCATCATCTGTGTGTACAAGTCAGGCTTAGCAAAGTGGGTGTCCGGAAACTGAAGGAGCTCCATCATCTGAGTGTAGGAGTTGGGTTTAGCAAAGTGAGTGTCCGGAAGCTAAAGGCGCTCCATCATCTGTGTTTACAAGTCAGGCTTAGCAAAGTTGGTGTCCGGAAACTGAAGGAGCTCCATCATCTGATTGTAGGAGTTGGGTTTAGCAAAGTGAGTGTCCGGAAGCTAAAGGCGCTCCATCATCTGTGTGTACAAGTCAGGCTCAGCAAAGTGGGTATCCGGAAACTGAAGGAGCTCCATCATCTGATTGTAGGAGTTGGGTTTAGCAAAGTGAGTGTCCGCTCCATCATCTGTGTGTAAGTCAGGCTCAGCAAAGTGGGTATCCCTGATCATCTGAGTGTACAAGTGAGTGTCCGGAAGCATCATCTGTGTGTGCTGTCAGGCTTAGCAAAGTGGGTGTCCAGAAACTGAAGGAGCTCCATCATCTGAGTGTAGGAGTTGGGTTTAGCAAAGTGAGTGTCCGGAAGCTAAAGGCGCTCCATCATCTGTGTGTACAAGTCAGGCTTAGCAAAGTGGGTGTCCAGAAACTGAAGGAGCTCCATCATCTGAGTGTAGGAGTTGGGTTTAGCAAAGTGAGTGTCCGGAAGCTAAAGGCGCCCATCATCTGTGTGTTACAAGTCAGGCTTAGCAAAGTGGGTGTCCAGAAACTGAAGGAACTCCATCATCTGAGTGTAGGAGTTGGGTTCAGCAAAGTGAGTGTCCGAAGCTAAAGGCGCCCATCATCTGTGTGTACAAGTCAGGGCTTAGCAAAGTGGGTGTCCAGAAACTGAAGGAGCTCCATCATCTGAGTGTAGGAGTTGGGTTTAGCAAAGTGAGTGTCCGGAAGCTAAAGGCGCCCATCATCTGTGTGTACAAGTCAGGCTCAGCAAAGTGGGTGTCCAGAAACTGAAGGAGCTCCATCATCTGAGTGTAGGAGTTGGGTTTAGCAAAGTGAGTGTCCGGGAAGCTAAAGGCCCATCATCTGTGTGTACAAGTCAGGCTTAGCAAAGTGGGTGTCCAGAAACTGAAGGAGCTCCATCATCTGAGTGTAGGAGTTGGGTTTAGCAAAGTGAGTGTCCGGAAGCTAAAGGCGCCCCATCATCTGTGTGTACAAGTCAGGCTTAGCAAAGTGGGTGTCCGGAAACTGAAGGAGCTCCATCATCTGAGTGTAGGGGTTGGGTTTAGCAAAGTGAGTGTCCGGAAGCTAAAGGCGCCATCATCTGTGTGTACAAGTCAGGCTTAGCAAAGTGGGTGTCCAGAAACTGAAGGAGCTCCATCATCTGAGTGTAGGAGTTGGGTTTAGCAAAGTGAGTGTCCGGAAGCTAAAGGCGCTCCATCATCTGTGTGTACAAGTCAGGCTTAGCAAAGTGGGTGTCCGCAACTGAAGGAGCTCCATCATCTGAGTGTAGGAGTTGGGTTTAGCAAAGTGAGTGTCCGGAAGCTAAAGGCGCTCCATCATCTGTGTGTACAAGTCAGGCTTAGCAAAGTGGGTGTCCAGAAGCTAAAGGCGCTCCATCATCTGTGTGTACAAGTCAGGCTTAGCAAAGTGGGTGTCCGGAAACTGAAGGAGCTCCATCATCTATGTGTAGGAGTTGGGTTTAGCAAAGTGGGTGTCCGGAAGCTGAAGGAGCTCCATCATGAGTGTAGGAGTCAGGCTTAGCAAAGTGTGTGTTGGGAAGCTTTCCATTTTTAGTGTAATTTAGGATCACCAAGAATGGAGTAACTGTAAAAAAAAAAAAATAAACCAATTCTTCAGCAGTTCTCCAAGTTAAAGGTTTCCTTTTTATAACTGATTAGATTTGATGAATGGATCAGTTGAAATGTGATGATAGCGGCAAAAGCTATTCAAGTGTTTGAATAAAATTGACTATGTTAATGACTCACGTTAGTTATAGACAAGAATTTGTTAAGATTCTTTTGACATGAAAAAGAAACGATAACAAGATATGTTGCAATAAATGTAAATAATGTAAGTATATATTTTCTTCAAAATATGGTTCTACGTCAACCAGAGAAATTTAAAAAAAAAAAAAAAAAAATCACCAAGTTTTTCTTCTGTAAAGTGATGGAATTTTATGAGGAAAATAAATTTTTAAAAATCTTTATTAAATGATTTTATAGCCACACCCATTGTCCTTTTTTTTATCCATGAAACTCCTTTGTCTTTTTTACAAATAAAAAAATATATAGTCAAAAAAATAACATTTTTAAATACATTTTCTTGTAATTCAAAAGCTTCAGCAATTTTGTATTAATCACATAAAACAGAAGAGGGCTTAATTGTATTTTGATAAGACTATTTATTATGAGTATCATCAAAATTATAATTTATATGACTATTATCAAAATTATTCACTTTACCTATGGTTTCTTTGTAATTCAAATGAAGCATTTAAGTGACAAAAAGAAAAAAAAAAGATGAAGGAAAAAAGGCTGAAATGAGATTGGAATTTTTTTTTTTTTATTTATCAAAATTGAAAAAAAATTACAATCAATGCAATAACAAATAAAGTTTTAAAACAAGCGATACAAATCATATTTAAAAAAAAAAAAAAGTCTAAATTTCAACAATTATTTTTCTCAATTTTAATTAGGGCCAAATAGGAACCCTAATTAATATTTTCTCATTAAATTAATTTTTTAAACATTTATTTAATAAACATAATTAACATGATATAAATAGAACTAAAATAGAAAGAGAAAGAAAATAACAACAACAACAACAATTTTTCCTACAACTGATAAAGAAGATAAAATAGAAATTAAAATAAAATTTTACGAGTGGGAGATTGTTTTGATATGTTTACATTTTTTGAAAGTATTTCTAAATTATATTCAGTAAAAAAAAAAAAAAAAAAAAAATTCTTGCTTTACTATCATTTGATTCCATGATTCAAAACAAGTCTGGAATGTGGGGTTTTCTAGCAATACAGATAAACTTTCTGCAATTAGCCAGAGTCAATAAATGCAGACTTTAATATGTGCTGGAGTTGCCAGATGACACTGCCCCTACACAAATTATATATATATATATATATATATATATATATATATTGATGCAGCATATTTGGAATGTTAAGGCCAATGGCCTGGTGAGTATAAATTAAGTTCAATTAATTTTTCCTTCTTTAAAATCATTTGTATTTTTAAAACATTTATTGGGAAGGGTTGATGAGTTGATAATTAGATTTATTGAATTAAAAAAAATAAAGACAGAACAACACAAATGCATAGACATTCAAAATTAAATGCACATTCACCACACTCCCATTATGGCATATATCAAATATGCACAACACACATCCTTTTGCAAAGAGATATGCATACACATGTTGTGCATATATATATATATATATATATATATGCACATACATATGCATATACGTTTTTGATATGGGTCGAAACTCTTTATATATGTAATTCTGTAATAATAATAATAATTATAAAACTATATTGTCTGTTAGTGAAAAGGTCTCTCCTACATTCAACCTTTCCAAGATTTTTGGAAAATGGCTACTCATGAACCAAATTAATCACTTGACCTTTTCAATGACAGAAACTCCATTTTCGAAATGTAAAGTGAATATCTACAAAAATTTTGTGCTGATTGCAATTCTAGTCAAGAGCACAATTTGCATAGTGTGACACACACACACACACACACACACACTCATATATAGAGAAAAAAATATTTTATTGTCAGAAGCTGGGCCTAAATTCAAAACTAAGATTGAAATGCCGGAAAATACAGCCAAATATCAGGAATTCTATGCGTGAGGCATTAAAAAATATCAGAACCCTGAAAAGGTTGAACAACAATAGTTTCCTTAACAAACAACACAGCCAGGCACAGAACAAGTCAGACGGTGGGTTGAAATTTTTTCTTTTGGAGCGAACAATACAAGGGAGGTAACTCATGCACACTAAAAACATTGATCTTTTGAGGTAAATAAAATGCCAACTAGGTTTCCCTGGTCTCCCGACAGACAATATCTTTGAAGCTTATGTTTTATATACATATGCAAGCTACACAGAACTGCATGGAAAAAATATATCAATCATTTTAACATGACTAACTAGATATTATAATCATTTGTCAATTCAAATTTTGAAAATTGCACAAATCAATAAATTAGCAGGGAGAAAAAAAAAAAAAATCACCTGTTAATTGAAATTTCAAAATACTAATTTTTCTCTAATTCTAAAATTGCACAAATAATATTTTTTTGGCTTCTTATTCAATAAAAATTGCAAACAAATATTATTTAATTAAATCTACTAATATACTGAAGAAAATATGGAATCATTAAAAAAAAAAAATTTCTTTCATATATATATATATATATATATATGTGTGTGTGTATGTATGTATGTATGTATGTATGTATATAAATTAAATTGGGATATTTGCAGTTTGGGATACAGTTCAATGATTTTTCTTTCGCCACTTTTTTTTTTTTTTTACTGGGCTCTGAATATTGCCAAACAAGACTGAAAAAAAAAAAAAAAAAAAAAAAAGGTGTTGGTAGGGTTGTTGAAGCCCATGTGTCCAGCTTCAGGTTTACTGACCAACAGTTAAGGCGCCATTGGCTTCACTGGTGGTTGGTACCTTTGCAGCTTCAGTACCTTTCTTGATATTCATAGTGCCACTTGTTGAAATCTATAAAGAACACAAGAAGGCATCCAGTTCCAAGACCAAGTAGCAAGAGTCTTTCATCATGTGACAGAGACAATGAATGAATATTGCCATCACATTTTGGATAAGAGTAGAGAAGAGTAAGGTCATGTGTGCGCCATACATCAGCCACCCCGTTGTCTCCTCCGGTGATGAGATATTCCCCACCGTGGCTCAGTAGCATTGAAATGATGTTGTCTTTGTGTTTGATGTGACACAAAAGTCTCCCATTGATGGTGAAGTTGCAAATGTTTCCCTGGTCAAACTTAACCAGGATAAATGCTTCCTTGGACATGGTGATTAATTCAGGAGAAGAGCAACCTTCAGGAGGGTCGAGAGATCTTAACAAGTCACCGGTCAATGTGTGGACAAGACATGGGCCATTTTTAGAGCCACTGACAACCAGTCCAAGTTCGGAGAAGACAGCCACACAAACAACTTCGGTTTGGTGCCCAGTGAGGGTAGCTTTTGGTGTGGGCTTCTCGGTAGTTCCAATGTCACCAACAATAGCTTGAGTTCGGGAACTGAACTGCCATACCATGACGGTACAATCTTTTGAGCCAGTGACAATGTAGCAGTCATGGTTTGTATTGCTTTCTGATTTTGTGATGCATGTGACAATGTCAAAATGGCCGTAAATAACCTGAATTATTTTGGCTGAGTCGGTGGAAAAAATGCGGAAACTCTTGTCCCAGAATCCACAGGCAAAAATGAACCTGTTGTCGGCTGTTGTGACAAAGCTGGAATGGGTCACTTTCAAACGTTGGTCAAAGTTATCTCCCAGTGACCTCTTGTGCAGGCCAGTGTTTTGAGCAAATAACTGATCCATTAACACTGGGAGTTCAGCCTCTTTCTCGTGCTTGTCTGATGAGAAACTGGTGGGCGTCCCTTGCTGCTGGTAGTTAGGGTTCCATTTGTTGACTGCAAAATTGTGATTGCACGTGATTGTAATTACAGCAGGGGTGGGTACCATTGGGTGGGTATTGGCCGCAACATGCGTGATGGGAGAATTGGACAAGAATTTCATCAACATGCAGAGATCATCTTGCACACTACTGAACATCATTGGGGTCAGGTGCATTAAGGAACTTCGAGGAGGGTGTGGCTCTGTGAGGAGCTGAGTTGGTGTTTGGCCAAAACTGCGAATTTGATTCTCAACCGCCTCCTTCATCACAGGGTCAGTCATCGATTCCAGATTAACGCTGCCTTCATAAGTAAGATAGTAAAAGACATTGGTTGCCCGGATTGCTTCGGGTCCTTTTTGCTTGTATCCAAAGATCAAGTCGATCCAGTGATGCAGCTGGCATGAAACAAATTCCGATTCCAGAGCCATTCGACTGATGCGTACAAAATCCTCTGGAGTCTTTGCCCAAGGCGGCAGACACACATCATCCACTTTCACATTTCCATCTTGATAGCCAAAGTCAAAGGTGTTTTGATTCACAAACATCTCGGGGAGATAATAAAATTCCGGTATGAGTTCTTTGACATCTGATGTGTCTGTCTGACAATTTTTCCATGCCTGGTTAATGGAGAAGAAAGTTCGATTGGCATGGTCAAATTTTCCTCCTTGCATATTCAAAAATAATGTTGTGAATGGTTCCACGCGGATGAGCCAGTTAAGTGTAAATGCAGCTGTTGAGTAATGAGTGCCATAGTGGAAAGGAGGAATCTGCTCGTGTTCCCAGCTTGCATAACGTTCATCAAAGAACTTCTTTCGGGCAGGATTCAGAGCACCAATCGGTTTTGACAAGTCACGAAAATTATTTGGTTGGCTTAGATCTAACTCCTCGGATTCATAATTTACAATAACCCAAGGAAATATGGGGTACTGGTTCAAATCATTGAATGAACGGCCTGCAACAGTGTTTAAATAGATAAGATAATCATAATTGGAGATTTCTCTTCGTTGCCACTTTTGTGTCATGTTTGACAATTTAAATAATTGCTTTCCAGATGCCAGAGACATTCGTCTTGCCTGATTCAAGCCATAGCGAATGCCAATGCCAACTCGGGGTAGAGCATTGACAACTTTTTTCAGGGTGACATGGTCAGGAAAGGCAAACATAACTGCTGTTCTGTTGGCAGTGAAAATCTCAATGGCTACATTTTGAAGCAAGTACCTGCGAGAGAATACAGCTCTGATTTCTGAAAAGTGCCACTTCCCATGAAGGTGGTCCATGTATGCAAGCACTTCAGGTGAAAGTTTTTTGTTATCTTTGTCGTCCTCATCCATTTCAAAGTAAAGGTCAGTTTTTGTGATGGACATTATTCCTGGAATTGCAAGTCCCATGGAAATAAGCTTACATGAAGTTGATAAGGCTACAGGTCCTGAAAACTCTTGCTCAAAATCTCTCTCCTCCATCAGCAATTCTTCATCGGTGAAGTCAGGCTGTTGTTGCTGCTGACCTTTCTTGGCATGGGCCAAGTGAGCATGGAAAGCCTCACGAGTCTGATTTATGGCATTCTCGTCAGAACTGGACTCTACAGAAGCTTCCAATGTTGCTTCTGGATGAGTAGATCCATGAGGGTTCTTGACAAAACGGCGTCTTCGACGGAAGTCATCCTCCCATGAGTCAAGTTTCCAAAATTCACACTTGTCATGTGGAAATTGACCCCAAGCTCCATGCTTGTTGGTCAAAATGTTGACAATCTTTTCGTGAAGTACAGAAGCAATGGCATGATCTCTCCTCTTGGCAGATGTTATCAAATGATCGCATAATTTCTCTTCTTCTTTGCGTTCAACGACTGTCTGAGCGCATAGAGACTCAAACTCGGCATGCTTTTGCACATCTTCTGCTCTCATTCGAGTCAATATGAATTCAGCTTCATTAGCTACACGCACAATGTGATCTCTCGTTGCGTGTGCCAGGAGTCTTCCTTCGTTAACAAGTTCAATGAATGCTAAGCCAGCATGCTTCTGCAAGGAATTCTGCCATTCTTGTGAACATAGTAGCATCACAAGTTCAACAACAGATGAACTCTGCTTCAATGTGACAAGACCCCCAACAAGTAATTCTTGCCCATGCGATCCTATTAATGTTTTGGAGAGGAATGGAGCAAAATCAACAAAAATTTCTCTAAGAAGTGGTGCAGCTGACCCAAGTGCCCTTTCAAGGCGTTTTGTCAGGGAACTTCCTTCATTTGGTAATGGCAAATTGTCAAATGCAGCTGGGATCTTTGTAGTCAATTCCAATTTTTCTGGTGGCTTTGTGCCAGGATCTGCTGGTCTCCCATCTGCTTTCTCATCTATTCTAATAGATGATATTCCTTCTTCTCTATTTTCTTCCCTTCTTTCACCTTCAGCCAACACCTTCTCATTATCAGCTGCAATTGGGGAACATGCTTGCTCACCATCTTTATCTGGGTTTGTAGAGATAGCAGCCTCAATTGTTTTATCTGTATCCACTTTAGTCTCAGACTGATTTACATGAACAGATTCCATCGGGGCTGTATTTGCAGTCGTAGCTGTAGTCATAGTAGCACTTGTCACAGTGGAATCAGTACTGGTTGGTGTCAAGTCTTTCTGAGATTCTGATGTAGAGATTTTTTGGTTACTAGTTTCTTTGCTGCTTTCTTCGACAGCACTATTAACAGAGTCTACAGTTGCTGCTACTTCTTCTTTTGGAGATTTCTCAGGCTCAGTAGCAGAAGATTTCTCGTCAACAGAATTTGATGGAGAAGTACCATCTACAGATTTATCAATGGCACTGGTTTCAGCTTTTTCTTCAAGAAGTTTGTCTTTTATAATTGTGGCATCATTGGATTTGTCAGTTTCATTTTTTGATTCCTGGGTAGATTTTGAAGAGGATGATTCTTCAGCAGCTTTCTTCTCACTGGTAACAATATGGATGTCTGCAGCTATTGATACGGCAACTGCCTCCTTTTCTATGCTTTCAACACTGGTGTCAGGTTCGTTGTAGTCTTTTAATGAAATGACTTCCTCATCTGTTTCATTACCTTCTCTTGAGGTTGGAGAGAGAACAGCTGACCGATGAGGCGCCAGGGTAGGTGTTGATGCAGAGCTGGGTGGTTCCAAAATGTCTCTGTACTTGGAGACCATTAGCACAGATGTGAAGTACACGATGGCCAAGGCCAGAAATTGAGCCTGCTTCGTCTCATCCACATCTCTGTAGACCACAGCTCTTAAACGTGTGATATCCATGTCTTGCAGCAACTTTTCTGCATCTTTGATTGGGGTAGTTTGACCTCCCAAGTTTTCAACTATATTTTTTGGGGAGGGGTGTGAGCCACCAATAAGTGATTGTATAGCATCTACACTGTTTGTCGGTTTTGAGTTCTGCCGCTGTGGGGGTGGGGTTGGAGAGGCCTCTGCGATGGGAGTCTTAGGAGTGTATCTGTGTTTGCATTCCAAACAATTCCTCACGGCAGCAGTGCACACCAAACGCAGACATTGCCGAAGTATTCCGCCCGGTGGCATGTTCTTTTCTTGCTCCAGTTCTGAAAAATTAGTTGAGCTAGTGAAGACTACAATATCGGTCATGTTCATTATTCTTTGTAAAATAGAGACTGCTTGTTCAATACTTAGTCCTTGGTTTGGTTCTAAAATTTCAATTTCTCCTTTGGGTGATGTAGCAGCAGCCAATAATGGCAAAAGTCCACCACATGACATGATGAGGTTATCTGCCAACTGGGAAATCATGTGGGTAACATTGACAACGTAGATGTGATTTTCACCAGAATTGACAAAATCAACAACTGCACGTGTACTGTGACTTTTCCAAACTTGAATGTCAGTTTCAATAGAGAACAAGAGATCTGAGAGTAACTTCTGATGTAGATACGACCATCTAAACTCGGGAATTCTAAATGGTGGCGCCCTTGGTCCAGGGCTGAAAAGGTGCCTACTTCCTGTGTTACCAGGACTTTCTCTTCTTGAAGAACTACCAGGCCCTGTGCAAGAATTATATCCACTTGTACTCTCTGTAGTCTCAGCAGTGTTTCCTGGAGGTAAATCGGTTTCAATCCTGGAAGTGGCACCAGAATCCAAAGACTTTGATTGAGAGACATTGGCAGGTCCTGTATTCTGATATGCTTCTGATTCTCCTTTGACTCCATATTCACCGGGATCTTTTTGCTTCTGTTCCTCTTCCAGACGTTTAATCTGGGAGTCTGCATTTATTTTGTCTTCAGCTTCAGAAATAGCATCATGGATTATGTCATCAACATAATTGGCTACTTCTTCACTGACAGTTTTATTTTTGCAGTAATTTGGTTCCGTCTCTCCTGTGTGGAAAAGGATGCGTCCCTCTTCCGTTGGATACTGGTAAACCAACCGCCCATCTTCAGTTTGGTAAACCATTTGACCATCTTTGGCAATATTTAAATAGATCATCTCTCCATCTTGGGTAAAATAACCTGTAGGTCCAGGCCGAGACTCGTGTCCTGGTGGATACGTGTCCTGATTTTGGTTGGACAGGGAAGAGACTGACCTTTCAGCCTGATCATTCTCTTCACAGTTCTTCTTGTTATCTTCAACTACACTCTCAAAATCATGAGCATCACCAAGCCGGTCAACGTCTTCAGATACTTTATTCTCTTCTGTGCATTTATTGTCAGTAGATTCTAAATCTTCCTTTTCCTCGTTTTCAGCATTCATTTCTCCGTCTTTCTTATCTGGTCTCTTTGCATTCTGTTCTTCCACCTTTCCACCAACATTAGCAAGTGTTTCTCGACTATTATCGGGTTCACCATCAGCTTTCATATCTAACTGTTCAGTTTTTTCTGGTTCCCCATCAATTTTTTCACTTTCCTTTGGCTCACCATCATCCTTCAACAGCATTTCTTTCTCTTCATCAGGCTGGCCACCCTCACTCTTAACTTTGCTGTCTGCTGAGTTAGTTCTTTCTGGTTCAACCTCATCTTCTAATTGTGGTTCTGCCTTTGCTGGCATTCCATCAGATTCATCCTTTTCTTCCATTTTATTATTTGATTTTTCAACCTTTTCCTCTTTATAAGCAAGTTCCTTAATTTTATCATTTTTAACTCCAGACAAGTCATCAGAATCTTGATTACTCTTTACTTGTTCAAAAGAATTCTCTGCAAGAATTTTGCTATCACCTGGTAAACTGTCTTCTGCTTCCACCTTGTCCAGCATTTTGCTCTTAACCAATTCTTTGTTGTCTTGTGGATTTTCCTCTGATATCCCTGTTTCCTTGTTTGTTGCCATTTCTGAGCACTCTTCTGATTTCCAAACATCTCCATCTTGGCCATCTTGTGTATCCAAATCTGAAATAGATTTCTCTGTAGGAATTTTTTCAGGCACTTCTGATATTTTGATAGAGCTTTTTGGTATGAAATTAGAATTTTGAATTGTTGTATCAGAAATGCCAGAGATGGTGCTGATTGGATAGTGTTGTCTCACTTTGGGGTCGGAAAGACTGTCGACTCTTTGTCTTTCATATTGTTGATACATTTTTGACATGTGAATGCGGAAATCTTCATACGCTACCTTTGAATGCAGGATAGCAAGTGTGTCAACCCACACTCTCCAACCACCGTATTCAAATTTGATTGCATGGTGAAGCAGCATGTGAAAAGGGACATAACCATGTCTGTGATTTTCTGTTCGTCGATATCTTGTGGGTAGATGTAGGCCATGGTAAAGAGCCATTCTTGCCATACAGACATTTGGAGAAGTGTTCTTCTGTTCTCTTTGTTATTGTTGCACATGATGGTCAAATCAGAAAGAAACATCTTCTTCACCTCCATCAATTCAGCACTCTGCTTCGATTGCTGTATCATTGTGGCAATGACTTTCAAAATGGCAGGATTTTCAAGCTTGAAGTAAGATTCCGGTTCAGAATGTTTCTCCCAACAATATTCCAGAGCAAGTCTTTCAGTTAGAATCTCAAAGAGAACATTGTAAGTTCCAATTGTAATGGATTGCATATTCAGCATCAATCTCTCTCCAATCAACGAAAAAAGGTTTTGAGGATTCATGGCTTCATATTTTCTTTTATGTGTGCTTCGCATCAAAAAGAAACCAAGCAGTTTAAGTGCCTGGATGCGAAGTGGTTCACTTGGAGAAGCAAGCAGTTTAAATACGGTGCGAATTCCATTTTTCTTATCGAATGATGGCACCATGGAGGATGGATGCTGAGACATAAGTGTAACTAGAAGCATCAAGACATCCATCAAATTGTCATCCTCATGCAGTGTTGTCAGGTAATTTAAAATGCTCTGTAGCTCATCTTCAAGAATTCCTTGACCTTTTCGGATCAACTCTGCTACATAAAGTAACATATAGGACCTCAATCTGACAATTTCATCTCTGTCAGGCCTTGGACCATCAACACCTTTTGGAGTAAGCCCACTCCTGTCCTTTGGATTGACAACCCAGTAGTAATACTTGAGGGTGTGCATTGTTTGGAGAACGGCACTGACCCTTCGGATATTGTTATAGATCTGGGCATCATTGATGAACTCAGTAGCAAGGTAACAGTAGAGCCTAGTTTGTACCTCCACAGAAGCGTAGATCCAGAGGCCTGGGTTGAAGAGAATGTGATCAAAAAGATGTTTCAGTAAAGTTCCTCCTGATGGTAACCTGACCAAATATTGTGTGAGTTTTAAGAAACTGTTCAAGACTTCAAGAGTTATATGTTCCCTGGATGATTTTTCTAACAAATAACTAATGACAAGGAACCCTTTTTTTTGGAGAAGTTCCTCCTGAATGGAAGAAGAACTTTCCAGGAGGTCACATAACAGACCCATCAAATTTGCACAAATATTGTGGTTTACAACAGATTTTTCATTTGGACCTTTGTTGACTGGCAAATCCAGCTGTCCAAACAATGGAAACAAAACTTCAATTCCTCCCAGAGAGTGAAGGGTACTGAGCAATGAACAAGTGATGACAGCTTTTACGTCATTGAGCATTAAGGCATGGGGAGAATGGAGAAAGTAAGAGGTGTTGCCTTTTGGTGAAGACTCTAAGCACAATTGGCTATCACAGGCTATAGGGTTGTACATAAACACTATGGATGAGGTCAGACGGCCCTCGTATAATACTCTTCTAGTATTTTCTGGAAGGACTGTGGAATTTTCATTGTCAAAACGAAACTGACTCTTGTAACCGGGTCCAAGTTTGTATATAGCAGAAACTTGGTTTGCAGTAAGGTATTCGCTGAACAGATAGACGGCAGACATTTGTCCACGAAACATGGTGTCTGGATCTCCGTCTGAACTTGCTCCCAGGTAACATTTATCAAATGGATCGTTGGTGCTTACCAACCAGGACATGTCTGTTAATGACACTAGTTCTCCATCAACATAGCATCGCAATTCCGACCTGCTCCAACGATAGTAGATGTGACATATGGTCACCATGTAGCACTTTCTGGGTAAGAATTCATATTTCACACAATGCTGGAAACCTTTCCCTTTGACCTTCATTGATGTGATGACCAGTGAACTGCCCAAGAAATGGGCCGAATATCCAACTCCTTTGCTGGTACGGAAACAATACAGGTACGGCTTTTCTTTTTCCACTGCAACGCCTGTGAGGGGATCTAGTCTGATCCAACAGGAAAAAGCCCAGCCGTTCTGATATGGCCATGTCCGAATAGGGGGAAGGGAAATAAATGAACCTTTTTTGCCGGGAAAACTGAAAAATTCATCAGGACCATGTCTCTGTGGCATTTGTCTTAGTACTGATAGCAGTTTAACAGAGTTTCTCGGCCATTCGCCATTTTTGGCTTTTAACAGGGCAAAAAGCATTCGTAGTTCTTTTACTGTGATGCTGTAACTGGCCAACACACCTAACATTTCGACTAGAAGATCAGCAACAACGTCGTCCGCATCTTCCAACATCCGTAATACATATTCGACTAGTCCGACTTCAGTGCTCACATTTAAGTTTAAACAACTTTTCTTCAAAATGGCTGTAAAAACACTCCAGATCTCTGCCTGAAGAGTCGACGGGCATACATTGAGTACTTCAAGCATATGAAGAATATTTTGGGATTCTTGGATAATAAAATTAGTTTCAATTTCAAACTCATCCCCAACAAGCAGGTGTAAAACTGTGTTGACGACATCTTTGTTCGACACCTGGTCTGCTTTGATTAGACCGACCAGTAATCTAAACTTCACCTCGTCCTTTTCACTCGACTTTAATATTCCCTCCACACGTTTTATATCGCCCCCACCTTTATCGGCGACTTCAGTCATTTCAAAAGAATTTTCAACTTGGATTACGTGTCAGAATAATAAAGAATTTTAGTTCAATTTGATTTTCACTAAAATCGCCGATGTAACAACCCGAGCCAAACACAAACTATACGTTATACAATTTAACTCATTATTTTACGGTGAAATTGTCTTCCAGATAACTTGTCCGAGAAAGAAATATTTCAATAAACAAAAAGTGCAATTTTTTTGAGAAACAAAACGTTCCCACCCACCTTTAAACATCAAAAACTGATCCGGGCCATTTTTTGAGTTTCTCAGCGACAACACCTGTACACAACACCACTCCGCAGAAAAAAAAACAGTCGACAAGTGGCTGCTGATACCAAAATGGATATTATTATATCATTATTCAAAATATTTGAAATAATACTTTCTGAGTTTATTTATAGGTTAATTTTAGGCATTGGTTTTGTATTTTTTCGGGATTCTTTTTTTTTCTTTTCTTTGCTGTTAACCTTTGTATTCAATGCGGTCCTGACTTAACCTTTGACGTCAAGATAATATGTCGGCAGTCGTCTGTAGACACCTGCATTTGAATTCTCTATCTCCACGGATATGTCGGGAGAGTATGTAAGCTGACAGATGGTTATGTCCGGCAAGAAAAAGAAGAGGGTGACTAGTAATGTCAACTGGGGCAGGAAGAACGTTGTTAAGGATAACGATAAGGTAAAATAAAAATTCAATCCTCATGTAAATAAATAGGAAAGTACTACTAAGTCAAAAAGCTAGCTTTTACTACTGTTTAAAATAGATAAAAAGTCGGGGATCAGTTTGCAGTTTATTTAAGCAGGTAGTTTGAACCCCCATTTCATGATCATAATTTTTATTGGCTATTATTTTCACATCTGGATGATCTTTGTAGAAATGATATTCATTGTGTAAACTGTAAAATAATTTCAGTTGACTTTTTTTTTATTTTTCCAGATATATTTTAAAAATTAATACTTTTTTCTTTTTATTAAACTTAATTTTTTATTTCTTAGAATCTTTTACCTTTTTTTTCTTGATTCCTCTTTCTTTAGTAAATCGAATTCATTTAAGATTTTGAAATGCTTTTCAATTAGATTTTTAAAGATTTTGATTTTAGAATTATTAACTTTAAACAATCAAAGCAAAGAGGCTTCGAAAAAGCATAATGTAATATTAATTACTGTACTAAACTGTAATAATTATTTCATTTATGGAAGATCAATAGGACCACATTACTAAAAATGTGTCAGCACTTAGTTACTCGCATGAGTAAATGATCATTTTTACAATTTACATTTACTTATTTTTATAAATTTAATTGTTAGTTTTTATTTGAGATGCTGTGAAATGACCTAAGCTAAATATTGCATTACAGCAACATTTAAGACTTTTTAATGTGAATTTATTACATCATCTCAGGAGCCTTTCTAGTTTGTATTTGGATTTGTAAATTGTGATGAAAAAAGTGGTGGGGTGGAGAGAAAAAAAAGTCTATTTTTGGAAGTTATTTTCTTTACTGGATCTTGATTTTTTTTTTTTTTTTTTCTTTTTTTGACTAATCATTTTTAAAAACCAACAACAACATTTTCCCATCTTGTGAATGGAACAACTTCGTCTGGTCACATGGCTTAACACACGCCTTCTTCTTAAAGAAAGGAAAATATTTCCTCTCGGTTGCAATTGCAACCCTGAAAAAAATTTATCTTTATTTTCTTCTACTATTTTTCCTCCCTCTGGTGTTTACAATTTTTGTGTATTTTCTTTTACTACTTCTGGTGAAGTGGAAAATAATTAAAAAAAAAAAAAAATGAAACTCTTTAAAAAAAAATTATTTAATAGTCGCCACTAGAAGCAAGTGTTCTTTCTTCATTCAATTAAAAAATGTATTAAAGAATGAAGAAAAAGCTTTTTAAATTTCTTCAGTTCTAATTTTGATTTTCATTTCGCAATTTTCATAAGTTTTGAAAATTTGATAGAAGCTTATCAAAAGTTTTAGAATTTATTTCG